TTGTGAAAGAGATTTTGATCTACTTGAAAGGGATTTTGATGAATACTTCTCTCTTATGAAGGTCTACACAGAAGTATTTTGATCAAAACATGTTCTGGCTTATATCACATCCTCCTACAGTCTCTTTCTTCATTTACAATTGTGGTACAGTATATCCATATTTCTATGCAGCTGTTCTATGCAAAGATCAATCGGTACTTAACAGATATTTCTATTGATGTTACGTGGCTGGCCAGTGGCGGCGCACGACCACCTTGCTCAGTATCGGTTCTACCTAGTGAGCTACCCTTCCGGTTTGACTTCTGGCTTTCGTCTTTTGACTACGTTCTCGGATTACGTTTCAGATTCATCCTTATGATTCCTCTCCCATATCACCATCTCTCTCTCTCTCTCTCTCTCGGCTAATAAAGCTGACATCGTAACGCATTCCTACGAGGAATCACAGACATCCTGTGACTCAAGAACACAAGATGCATCTGAGGTGATGAACAATTGAAATATTTAAAAAAATATTTTCCATTTAAAGTGAACAGAGCACATTTGTAAAGAGTTAGACCTTGTTACTATGAATTAATGTGAGAAACCAGAACTTTACAGATGGAATTATTAGTTGTTACAAACTATTTCCACACTATTCTATTAAATTCTGTGCCTATTGAAAGTTACAAAATGAAGAAAAATTAGAAATGAGTAAAAAAGCTTCCATTTCTGATTCTGTGAAATGACTTTGCACATTGCATTCAATTAGGAATATAGCTATGCAACAGTCCTTCATAAAGCTCAACTGAAATATCAGTTCTTCTACCACTGATATAAGGCTTGATCCTTAATTAAATGGTAAAATCTATTGTATAGTTATTGAATATGTGTTTTGGTTATACACTTTTGTTAGTACATGCGCTATACTGTAGATATTAATGTTAGTGTGATATTAGAGATTTAGTGTAAGAAAAAGCTGAGAAGTGTGTGCTATTTCCAAAATGGACGATGACATAATTTATGCTTTGGAGACTCCACCATTGTAGGTCATCAGCTGCTTAAAATACTTAGTGAGTGGAATACTCATGTCAGAAGCAGTGTAGATTTGGCCTAAGGCTTGAAATACTATTCACTGTCTCTTCCTCTTGCACTTATTGTATCTCCCGAGCACATCCAACAACCACTATATACAGATCAGACATTACATAAAGATGTGCAATGAGTGCAGCTCTCCTTGCCTCTTCCAGGATTTGATCCCTGTTGCTCTTGGGCTCTGAGCATGCCCAGTGCAAATCCCTAGAGAGGGGATAACTCAGCTACCCCGAAAGAACAGGTTATATGCCATGGGAGACTTCTCCTAGGACACCTAGAGCCACATCAGAGCCACACAGCATCTCTACTCAGTGTAGAATTCTGCTGTGGCGCAAGACCAGGTCTTCTCTGGTGGCAGTTTTACACTGTCTAGCTTTCACAAGGTCAGTCATGCCTCACATCATAGTCAGAACAATTTGCTCACTTTCTGGAAGTTCAGGGGGCTCCCAGGCTCCTGTCATGCTCGTATCCTCCCCGACTGCAGACCAGTACGACAATGACAAACAATGACAAACTGTAGTAGTGGAATACAGAATAGATAAGACTATTAAGAAGTTACAAACAAGAGGTGGTCATTCAGCTAGCAGCAGTGTTCTGAGATTTCTATCTATCAATTTCTTCAAAGATTGCTTGTAGCTGTCTACAACCACATGATTTCCATAATGTAAACTTCTTTTTTTTTTCAATGTTATATGTACATAAACTTCACATTCTCTGTGTCCACAGGCCTCTGAGTAGCTGCTGGTCTCAAAGAAGTCTCCTGCATAGACGTGTTCTATACAATTCAGGATTTTGAATACCTGAATTAAGTACCTACATAATTTTCATTTTAACAGATGAAAGATATTCAGTTCCTTTAGGGCAAAACCTCTGATTGATCTAATTCGTACTTCATTCTTTGTAAAGCAACAATATCTTTCTTCGAGTGTGGCAAACACTGTCTGGTCCAGGCAATTTTAAAAGTAAAAAGATTTTCCACTGCCGAAGCATTCTATGCTTCACCCTCTTTCCTTTTAATTTTCAGCCCTGAGTTAACCTCTACTTGCTCCTGAAGTTCCTGATGTTGATTGCTGACACAACAGCCCACTCTAACCACTTAGTAAAGTGTTTATTTAATATATGCAGGATATACTGTATGTTGAAATACACACCATGGCTTACGTACACTAATGTCTCAGCCATAGAGCCTACAGTAAGAATTCACCACCCCTTCATAGAGGATTGGAACCCTTTCCTCCCATAAGACACTCAGAACTGCTCACCACTGCCTAATTTAAGCCTTTGCTTTGTCCAGATTGAGGAGATCTAGCTCCTTCAACATGTTCACTTATGACAATACCCTGAGACTAGGAATTATTCTTGCTGTTCTTCTTTAATCTCTTTGAAAAACAGAGCAGTGTTTTAAATATTGCCTTACTAGTGCACTGTAAAGTTTGAGCACAACTTCCTTATATCACGTGGTTAATGAGTAATAATACATCTTTCCATGAGGAATGACAGCAGCTGAAGATTGAGAGAAAGTAGGATTGTTTATTGAGATGTGACTTGGCTTAACCCACAACCTCCCGGCCATCGGACGGGGAGGATTAGGGTCCCCATTTGACCAAGGGGGCAGCTGCTGAGGTGGAGAGGGGGTGGAGGAGGGATGTGAAAAACGAGTGAGGAAGAGGAAAGGGTGATGTGTGGTATATATGGAGACTAAGCTCTTAAGTCAGAATTGAATTGTGAGTTACGGCATCTGAGTTTAATTAGTTTGGCTGCCTTCATCCCTCCCAAACGTTCGCTAAAAAACTCCGTTTTAAATTGCTCTGCTTTCCTCTATCTATTCTCTTTGAATATACAATGCATTCATTATTTTGTACAGAGTAAAAAATATAATTACATTTTTGGACAATTTTCATGTCCATAAAAAAAACCAAATATTTCCTTCAACATTTCCTATAACCCACGGAACTCTAGTAAAAATAAATAAGATTATAAATTCCATACTGTGCTATCTCTTGAAGGGCTCATGCTGTAAGCATCATCTTAAAGAATTTTAAAGATAATATTTTCTCATAAATCATGTTCAAATAACTCTGCTTTTTTATAGATGTGTCAACTCAAGTTATATAATTAATGTGTTGGAACATGTAATCACCAACACTCAGGTATGCACACACTGTTTGTAAAGATATATGCTTGTCACAGTTTTGCACATTTAATGTTAGATTAAATACTGCAAGTCTGATTGAGAATGTTACTGTCAAGCACCAGACATTCCTTTTTAAAGATACCAACACTACAGTAGATAATATATACCAGGTTTCAACAAATGCTATGTACACTCTATACCCAGGTATCAACAGAAACCAAGTGTGGTTCAGTCTTGGATTATCCCAGCTTTTGCTAAAGGCAAAGTATTACATCCATCCTTTAAAATTTGGGGCAATGCTCATCTGAACTTTTCTCCTTGTAGTTCGTTTTTCTTCCTCAAGCCCTCTGTCTCCCTAATGCTCAAATTGCTACTGCCAGGGGCTCTTAACCAAAATATGTTGTTTTTGTTTTTAGAAGCCTTTAATTAGGCCTTTCCAAATTAAACACAAGATTAAGCCAAGTTAAATCTGGACTAATGAGAAGTTAAAAAATGAATTAAATGGAACCGAGGGTGGGAGTAATTGCCTTGCTGGTATAGTTTAGATTTATACAGCAGCTTTCAAACACCTGGAATAACTTTTTAAGAGCTAAGGTCAGTTATTAAAGAAACCTTTGAAATGCAGTGCAGAGTAAATTAAAACATACTGATAGTGAACTCATAACACATTTTATTCTGTGCAAGTGAATCATACTCTGCTTTTTCTCAAGAAACATTTCAGGCAAGGTTTAATGTGTCAGCCCCAGTTTGACTGAATTTTTAACAGGAAACCAAAGAAAGATTTGTATAGTTTAAAAACCATTTAAGCAATTGACCAGTTAATTGCTTCATAATTTATTTTACCAGACATTTAGGGAAAAATTATAGAAAAGCTTTAACTCTGTAAAACGTTTTTCAGACCAGATGGTGTTTTGATAAATAAAGGTTTACAATCCACTTTTCTTTAGTCAAACAGAAAAAAAACTATACATACTGTATATAATCTGAAGTTTATATAAAACTGAAAAGAGAAGAAAGAAAACATAACATCCCGTCCATGGAGAAGGCTCCTGTATATAATTGTATACATATACATATAATCCTATTACTATTGAAACTAATTATAAAAAATAACGAAAATATAAACATAACACACAAACTTTTAGACCTTTTGATTTTAATTTAAACATATATCAACAAAAATACATTTTTTTGGAAGGTGTGTGGTTTCTTTCTGCAACAAAGACAGTTATTTATATTTATTAATGGACTTGGATCTTCCACATGCTGTATGAAATAGTGCATGAACATCTTGAAATACTAACTCTCACTTGCCTTTTCTCACTTTAGGTTAGTATGTACTGTATCTGTTTTGCTTCTTCCTCCCATTATCTTGCATAACATGATGTCCCATCTTAGATTAATGTTTGAACCTACAGTAAATGCTATTGTTCCATGGAATTTACTCTACAAGATTAGACAAGGAAATAATAAATGTTTTTCAAGATTTCAGGTGGTGCAAAATCAAATGTGGAGCAAATTACTGTACATTCTGTGCTGCTTTTCTGTGATGTCTAGTCAACTTGCTTTCATTCCCCAGACATATGGATTTATTAAGGGTGCTGCAAATTACTTCCATGCATGCGTCGCCTTGAGAAGAGGGATTCTTGGGGAAAGACAATCTGTGCGACAGAGGGGGTGTCCACAGGGCTGGAGACATGAAAGGAGGGCGTGGTGATGAGGTGTCTAAAGCTCTGGGTCTCTTCACAGAAAGACTGATCACACAGCAGCCTATAAAAAGTGCTTATGCCCTCACATGCTTCACTCGCTTGTCTGTGCTACTGGATATACTGTAACTGCCTGTTGCTTACGAAGATTCTTATGCAATACCTGCACATTTTTAAACTTATTTATTTTTGTTTCACAAATGGATATCATCAGCTTTTATTTCTTTTCAAGCACACTGGTTTTATTTTTGGAGCAAAAAGGTAATTATTATTATTATTATTATTATTAGTAGTAGTAGTAGTAGTAGTAGTAGTAGTAGTAGTGTGATTAGAGCTGGTTTTGGAGAAAATATCACTGCAAATGATCTTGGATTTACAGTATTCTCAATGAGAAATGTTCTAAGTTGTTAAATTTGGTGTAAAACTCATAAAAAGTTGATAATACAGGACTATAATGTGTTTTAACAAATGCTTCATAAATTTACATGCCTCATTGTTTTCTCTTCAGTGCCATATAAATTCAGTAATAAATTGAAATGGCTATTAAGTCAAACTTTAGTATGTTCCTTACTCCGTTTTACACTTTAAAGTGTAACTGTAGAAAGTCCTTTGTGTTTTGTATCCAGCAGATAAAAGAATTGTTAAATTGTATTATGTTATTTTATGCAAGGTGATTAATTCTAAATTTAAAGGGCTTAATTAACATAAATTAAATTAAATTAAATTTCCACTTTATATATTTCATGGCAAAGAAAAATCTCCTCAGCTTACTACCTACTTTCTTAGCTTGCAGTTATTGTACATGGAAATTATTTATTTGCGATGTTTTCATGAATAGCACAACAGACTTGACAGAACTGCAGTAACACCAAGGGATTAAAAAATATCGTTTTTAAAATAAGCACAATATTAAAGTATTTTATATACTGTTAAGAATATAATAGTATATATTCTTAACAGTATATAAAATATTGCACTTTTCCTTGTCCTGAACTTTGGAAATGAGACTTGGGCTGGTAAATTACTTTGTTTTTGCTGTTTTTGTTTTATTTATATAACTACCAAATTTAAAAAAATATATATTGTGTTATTTATATAAGTTAGTGACTGTTTTTGTTAAAATAATTAGACAGGATCTAGCCAGCAGCCATATCACCCTGCAACTCACAACTGTCAACCCACTGAAGCTAAGCAGGTGTGAGTCTGGTCAGTACCTGGATGGGTACTGTTAGTGGGGCCAGCAGGGGGCTGCACTCTGAGGTCTGTGTGGGTCCTAATGCCCCAGTATAGTGATGGGGACACTATACTGTAAGTAAGCGCTGTCCTTCGGATGAGACGTAAAACCGAGGTCCTGACTCTCTGTGGTCATTAAAAATCCCAGTGTGTTTCTCGAAAAGAGTAGGGGTGTAACCCCGGCGTCCTGGCCAAATTTCCCATCTCTCCTAATAATCCCCCTCTATGAATTGGCTACATTACTTTTTCCCCCCCTCCCCCCACTCCGATGGCAGGAGCAACGCGCTGGTTGGAGTATTTCTCGGTCGCAGTTAATGGCAACGTCAGCTCAAAGATTTGGTTCAAACCAACAAATGGAGACGGGTGTGCCGACAAGCGGACCCTGTTGATAGGGATTAACGCTAGGGAAGAGAGAGAGAATAGTATAATTGAAGAGCTTGGTTTGAAAAGTGCAACATTTTTTGTGCTTCCTATTTATTTTTTCATATTTTGCATCTATTAAAAGCAATGAGAAAAGTTACAGATACATTTAATATAAATAAGAATGCATAGGTTGTAAGACTGTACAGAATAACTAAAACAGCTAAGTAATGTTTTTCAATTAACCTCCTGCAGTGTTTTAAACATCTTGACTGAAAAAATATATTGTGCTGTGCTTACAAAACTTTTCCTAAGAACTAAGTTGTTTTTCTACCAACCTTACTTGCTTACTTACTCCTGCTGCATGATCCTATAATGATAGAAAAAAAAACTAAATCTGCTCTTTTGCAAAAGAAAATCAATTTGTTTTTATTATCCCACTGAGCTGTTAACAAAAATTGAGTTTCCTGAGAATAGTGGAGGAGACTGGTGCTCTTTCCCTTGAGGAAATATAAACCTAAATTTAACAATCTTTTTTGTAGAAAAGGATCATCTATAAAATCCTTAAAATGTGTCATAATACACACAGTATTACCCACACTCTTTTTCTATACTGGTATAGGAAAGAAACGTTTTCTCATAGCTTTCACTTGGTTAGCAAAGGAACAAGAAATAGGTTTATTCCACACTGAAAAGAGGAGAAAGAAAATATTTCAGCCATGGAGCCTTCTTCAGGTGTGAGCACCTCAGTTACACAACTTAGTTATACAACTGTATACTTAGCAATTTAGTAATATTTCAAAACATTTTATGCCCATGTTTTTTATTTATTTATTTGAGGACTTTCTAGCAAAGTTAGAATGCTTTGGTCTCACACAATTTATTCTGAATCCAGCTCACAAAAAGGGTCACACCTTGGATTTAGTCATTGAAAATGACTCTTTTGTTTCTCACTCATCTTATATTGAACTAGGTCTTAACAATCACTTAGCTGTCCTCTTTGACTTAGAATTCCCTTTAACACACATTTATGTTCAGTAATGTTTTCGCATCACTTAACCAGAATAGGTTAATAAGACTACTCCCTCTCTCTCTTCATTGTCTTCCTTTCTTTTCTCTGAGACTCCTAATGACAAAGTGCAGAGTGCAAAACTTTAATAGGTCTCTTTTAACTACTCTTGATTCCTTAACTGTTCTTAAAACTCAATCCATTTCCTATACTCGCTCTGCCCCATTTTATGATCAATTTAGGCAGTCTCCTGCAAACTAGAGCATAGGTGGTGTCTTTCTGACTTTACTCCTAGTCCTAAAAGGAGCATTGTTAAGTCAGGTGTTCCCCAGGGCTTGATACTGGGCCCACTGATATTCAGGATCTACATATTCTCCCACTTGGGCCGATGATGCCCAAATCTACAGTATGTCCATACTAAACCTGACAGTTTAGTAGGTTTCTGAACTCTCTAATTATATTCCTGATATAACAACTTGGATGACTCCAAATTTCCTTCACTTAAACTGCAATGAGACTTGGGTCACGCTACTTGGCACCTCCCATCACCAACATAAAACAGTGCAGTAACCACATTTGTGGGTGGCACTGTGCTTGAATTTCAATCAAAATTAAATAATTTTGGGGTGATATTTGATCCTGGCTTGACTTTTGATGTTTAAGTGCAGAATATTGTAAAAACATAATTCTTCCATCTCAGAAACATTGACAGTCAGGCTGCATCTTATGTTATCTTTTACTGTCATTTTCTCTAGAATTGATTTCTACAGTGTCCTGGTTGCTGGGGTAACTAAATCCACACTAAACCAATTCTAGTGTGTTCAGAATTCAGCACCCAGAATCCTATCCAGGACACATGCAAGTGGTCACTTTATGTTTGTTTTGGAGTCCTTGCACTGGCTTCCTATCAGGTTTCAATCCCCATGCTCATCTATAAGGCTTTACTATTAGGCTTGGCACCTCAGTACCTCCAGTACCTGTGACTTTTTGTCTATCTACTTCCCACATTGCAACCTTTATTTGTATGACTGTGGTCTTCATTCACATTCCAGTCACTTAGCCTGAATGCATTTAAATCTAAACTCAAAACCTTTCTTTTCAGGAAAGCTTTTACTCAAATCAAAAAGTCAAATCAAAGTTTGTTTATCAAATGCACAACAATATGGCGTGCAGCAGTAGCTGCTGGCAATGAAATGTCTTTTTCTGCGAGCTCACAAAAATCACAAGAATCACAAAAATCACAAAATTCACAAAAACACAAAAATCACAAAATTTAGGTTACATTTTTTTAAACTGAATAAAATTCAATATGAGTAGAGCTGTCTTGTGTCCATGGTGTATGCAATATATACATGTAGTGCAGTTATGCTAAATACAGTGAAAACTGTGTGTCCATGTAGCCATTACAGGTGATTTGCTAAAGGAGCTGAAGGTTGGTTATTTAGCAGTCTTATTGCCTGGAGGTAGAAGCTGTTCCGTAGTCTGTTGGACTTGGACCGAATGCTTTGGTACCGTTTACCAGACGGTAAACTTCTTTAGCCTGCAGAGAAAGAACAGGCACTGCCGTGCTGTCTTGACCACGATGTTGGTGTGGTGGGTCCAGATTAAGTCCTCTGAGATGTTAACTCCCAGGAACTTAAAACTGCTGACCCTCTTCACTGCAGTCCCATTGATGTAAATAGGTGTGTGGTCTCCTCCCTGATGTTTCCTATAGTCCACAATCATCTCCTTTGTCTTACTGATGTTAAGAGAGAGGTTGTTCTCCTGGCACCATGCTGCCAGGGTTTCAACCTCCTCCCTGTATGCAGACTTCTCACCATCTGTGATTACTAAATTGTCTGTGTATGCTCCATTTTCTAACTTCTGTTGTCTGTTGTCCTTCTTATGTCCTTCTTATGTGAACTTTTGTAATGATCTATCCTTATACCTTTGTTGTTGTTGAATACTTTATTCACACTATTATATTTAGGATTTACACATTCCAGTCTGATTTTTTTTTAGTGTAATGGAAATATTTAGACATTGAATATGGTTTTATTTCTGTCACAAGAAGAATGTAGCATAGATCTTGAACTTAATGGCCCAAAGTTTCTAATATTAAGAAATACAAAAATAAGACAAGTGCTGTAGTTTTTTAAAGAAATTGTATGACTATCACTTGTTACTTACCACAAACGTATTTGGTGCACTCTTAAGAGTAATGTTCAGATTTTAATTATTCAGTTAAAAACAGAAGTCGTAAGTTACTGTAGATACAAGAGCCTCACAAAAACAAGAGAATTTCAACACAAGAAATAAGTAATTTTCACAGATTTCTTTAATTTGGGGTTAGATATTGGGGACAGTGGATTTATTAACACAAACAGAAACACTTAAACATAATTTAATATAGTGGTTTTAAAAACAATCATCTAAAAAATATAAATAATTTCATACACAATTAATTAATATTGAGATATTTTTCTTACATTACTTCTGTCTCTTATTTTATCAAGGCAAAACATTAGTAAAAATAAAAATCCAGTATCTTTGAATCTCCTTAAATATTAATGCAAACAAACATATACATACAAACTTGCATTATCCACTCTTAGTTAAATTTACACCTGGACTTTGCAGATATTGTGACTCGGCTTCTCACCTTTTCTTATCCTAGGAT